TCGTGTCCCTAGAATATGGAATGACTGTGGTTTTGAATCAAGGCACATCATGTTAATGGCGGGCCACCGAAGCGTGTCTACTATAAGATCCTATACATTGTAACATGTCCTTTTCAAAAGAACAGAATATTTCGAGGTCCTCTAGAGTCTACACTAGCGTCCGTTGCAAGTGGCGAAGCAGGTGAAATCGTCCCGGTTTGTCGGCCAGTCCCCTCATCGATAGAGGTTCTGATTGATGGCGATAAAAGACAAGTTTCTGTGATGGCTCCCCTCCGTAAACAACTCATTGATTCGCGGATCTTTAGATGATGAGGACATGAGGTCGTCCAGTATGACAAGGTTTCTCACATTTGAATTCAGTAAACTGTCTTGATCTAAATCCAAAGGTACCCCCTGAAAAATTCCACCTGAGGTAGAACCGTTTTTGTGATGTCATAAAGTGGTTGCCATGGTTTGTAGAGCCATACGATACGTTGAGGAGGTGGTGATATCTTTGACAATTTTTCAGGAGATTCTTGACATAATAGGTTTTCCAACAAGATATGGGTCCAGAGACATAGGTAGTGTAGGGGTGTTTGAAAACAAAGTCCTGCTGCTGCTGGATAACTTCTTGTCTATCTTTAGGATGCTGTTGCTGCTGCTGGATAACTTCTTGTCCATTGTATGACTGTTGCCCATCAGTAGCTGAGTTTTATTTATATGACTTTTCAAATCATGTAACCATGTTTACTTGCCCAAACAAATGCGAAACTGGTTCTTCATGTTTCGTCCCCGTCCGTGTGTAGATACGAAATACACACTAAGATTTCTCGCCTATGTATACCCTTTAGGGGCTGTTCATTGTGGGTATAGTGAAAAGATCAGTCAAGACATGAATGTATTCAATCAGTTAATGTATCTATCAATAGTAGCGAACACGGGTCAGAGACCATCCCATGCCCATCCGTACAATATGAAGCCTTTTCTAAAATGGACAATATACATATTTACACTACTTAGATTCGTCTACCACCCAATCGACGGTATTCTTTTCCTGATACCTTTCTAGGGTAGTTCACTCTCTTATTGTGGTATCCTACAAAGCCCATATGCTAAACTGGTCACGCCGTTCTGGAGGATATATCGTTTATCGTCAAAGGGTGACAGTCCAATTGTATTCAAGTTGGTGTTATAAAGTTGATGGTGGTACATTGTAGCTCCTCGTTCACTAAAATAGGACTGTGTCCAGCATAGCGTCATCAGTAACCCAATGAGAATACTCTAACGTTGAAAAGTATGCCATGGTCGATGACGTCAAACACAACTGACATGTCTAGCATGACAAGTACCGCTCTGTACTCGTTATTCATTGCGGCAACTATGTACTTGTGTACACGTAGGAGGGCAGTTTCAGTAGAGTGTCCCATGCGGTAGGCCGATTGCAGGTAATCATGGAGACTGTTTGCATGGAGGTGAATATCTTAACACTGAGACACAATCTTCTCCAAAATCTCCAAAAACAGAAAAGGCAGATTTGATACTTGGCGGAGCCGGTAGTGCTTCAACTCCTCCTTGTCAAGTACAGGCTTCTTCAACAATGGTCTAACATGTGCCTTATTGAAACACAATGGAACCTTTGACTCAGCCAATGATTTGTTCATGATTGAAGTAATCAAAATCAATATCATGATATGATAGATATATCATTGTCGACAGTTAATTTTACGTCGCCAATATTTGTCCTGCTCGTGCTAGAAAATAATCGGTGAACTTGTTGGACAAGTCTTTTTCAGAAGGACAGCTTGGTAGGATGTGTTTACCTTTATGACTCTCAAGATTTTTGTTGGGTATGAACAGTTGTCTGTTGTCTTTTATCGCATTCTGTGATTCTCTCAAAATTATAAGCCTTCTTGCCTTGAATGAAAAGATTTGAAAGAAAATATAGAAAAAAACTTCAATCAAAGGCAAAAAAAATAAAAAAATAAAAGAAGTAAAACTTAAGGATCCCCGTCCCAGGCAGAGCAAAACACTAAAGAATTCAACTGTCGTTTTTCAGTGTTAGAGTCACCTGGCCACCATTTCGACAATGTTGTTATCTTACCTTGCATAGATTTTGTTTGAATAACGTTTCGACTACAGAGTTGTGCCCCTTGCGTTGAACATCTCCAATCACGAAAATGTGGGGAAACAAACTGTTATATAATAACCAATCTGCTCTGTAGTGGATGAGATGCGTAAATTATATTTCATGTAACAGTAATGTATACCAATCTACCCTGTAGTGCATGAGATGTGTAAAATACATTTTTTTCTGTAGCAGTTATATATACCAAGCTGCCCTGTGGTGGATGATATGTGTAACATCTGTTTTCTCTAGGAAGATGATACTGTTATTATGTCTGAATCGGCGGAAGGACTCCAATCTGCTATTATTTTTGTTTGTTTGTTTGATTTTGTTTAACGTCCTATTAACAGCTAAGGTCATTTAAGGACGGCCTCCCCTGTGTGCAAGATGCATGCGTGTAGTGTATGTGTGTGTATTTTGGGAGGCTGCGATATGTTCGTGTTTGTCTCCTTGTGATAGCGCGGAACTGATGCTACCCCACTGAAACATACTGCCGAAGACACCCAGCAAGACGCCCCACCCGGTCACATTATACTGACAACGGGCGAACCATTCGTCCCACTCCTAAATTGCTGACCGTTAAGCAGGAGTAGAAACTACCATTTTTACAGACTTTGGTATGTCTCGGCCAGAGGACAGAACCCATACCCGTCCTCAAAGGGGCGAACGCTCAACTAAAAGCCAAACGTGAGGCCTTGTCAAGGGAGACATTAGGAAGAAGAAAGTTATTTAGAAAAAAAGAGAAGAGATAAGATCCCAAATTTAGTCGCCTCTTACCATTATGCAATTGGGGGTAGCAGGTACAATTCTTACGCCCTATCTGCAGGGAAACATATGTATGGAAACAGGTTTACATATTTTATCTCGGCATATCAGAAAACATGTACCTTTAATAGAGATTATTTGAAACTTGTTGTGAAACAAAGATTACAAGACCAGTTAATCCAAAAATGGTTTAACGATACCGAGAGCTCTTCAAGAGAATCTACCTATTCCAATTTTAAAACAAAGCTAGGTTCAACGCCTATGGAGATTTAACATTAGCGTTGGCCCCCGCTTGGAATTTCAAAACAATATAAATCCAAGAAGGTATGGGTATAGGAAGCGTAAATCAGGAACAGTAGTTTCAGAATTCATTTGATAATAAATGGGACCTCATTGACTTACACCAGTGTGGGTATATCATCATCGTGGGGAACATATTCAAACTGTAATTTTTATACCTAATGTTACACTATTTCAAGAAAGAATTGTTCTTTTTATTGAATATTTAAGCAGAAAATTTCCATTTTTGACACGTTAATTTATATAGTTCTAATTTTTCTTACTTGCTGAAAAGTTGGCTACCAATAATATCTGTCAACATCAGAAATTTCCAAATAATTGAAAACCATTAAATTTGTATTTTTTTTTTTTTTTGGTTCAAATAAAGGAAAAACAAAACTTTCTTTCCACATTTCCTCTAACTTGCGTTTCTTCATGTCTAAACGTCATTGGGTCTTAATTTTTGGCAAGTAGGTTGTTCATGTTAATAAGTTCAACAAAGGGACATTACTCCTTTTTTAAGGATCAGAATGAAAACAAACTACTTGGATGCACACCATCAGATGGTAGTTACCATATCTGAAATCTTTCGTTGAAATTGACCCCTTCCTTTTGAAGGACATGTCTGGACAAAGATTTTTCAACAAAGGGCCATAACTTGGTTAACAAGGATCAGAATGAAAAAATAATACCTGGGTGCACAACTTCAGGTGTTAGGCATCATATCTTGATACTTACGATGAAATTGGTCCATTACTTAAGAAGGAGTTGCCCGAACAAACTTTTTCTACTGACAGATAGACGGATAGACAAGCTGATTCCAGTATACCCCACACTCCCACCCCTAACATCGATGCGGGGGTATAATAAATTGTATAACAGTTTAAGTATAAGGATTATTTAATTATTTTTATATAATTGCATATCTTTGTCTATAACACAATCTCAACCTTAAGTAGCACTCAAGAGGAAAGATGACTTTGGCAGAATACATATTCATGAGTTATTACTGCTGCACATAACTTTAGAACATGCGTTATATCATAAAGTGTTTTGGTATGATACAAAAACAGAAAATGTATCGGTATTTATCATAATAAACATTGATAGTCAAATCTTCAAGGCTATGTGAAATCGGGAATTGATCATGTTTGTATACAGACAGTGGTCAGTCTAGGGTTAATGGCTATTTCAATTGTGTGGCTGGGAGGACTCGGTGAGCCCAGTAAATTTCAAACGGATTATGAAATACAATTTTGGTGGGCTTGAAGTTAACGTCAGCTGGGAAACAAAGATGGAGTATACCTTTGTTGCAGTTGGCAAAAGGGCCATAGCTCTGCAAGAAAGGGAATGTGATCTCTGCATTGTTTACACTAAACCCCATACCATCTTCATATATATATATATATATATATATATATATATTGTACATTATTGACTGTAAGTTAATGTAATGTAACGTCAATGTCTTTACAATCATTGATATAATGTCTGCATAATTACATCCCTTGCGGCCAATTGTGGGCCTACGATTGGAAATAATAATATTGTCTCGAGAATGCAATATTAATGGTCCCTGGAACTTCATCATCGTACGTAGTTTGGTCTTTTTATCAGTTTGTGTAGACCTGCATGTAAGAGAAATGGAAAATCTCCCGATCGCTAGCACCACGGACTTAAATAGGCCAGATACGTATATATATATGTAATATATACGTCTCTGAATAGACCTATATTATCTTATTTCGTGCCAGTACGTGCAGTTCTTGCGTTTATTGCTATTTTAAAAACAGACTAAGAAATAACCGTTGTGTCTAGTCATTGGCTGTAACACGTGCTTCCGGGTATGATTCTTGGATATATGATCAGACCTAACTCCGCCTGTTATGCCGCCATTTTATCCCGCCTACTGGCGTGTAGTGGATGAGCTCTGTGCTGGATGAGAAATAGACTCAACGAGTTGCGAAGATAAACCAGCACCAATCGGCCCACTTCTGTTCTGATATCGGCGTGTGGACAGCAACGATAGATCGTAAGTAATATAAATATATATATATGAGACAGGCTTTGTGTTGGAAAGACAGAAATGACTGAATAAGTCTTGCCTTCAATTGATAAACGATTGGGTGCTGTAGCTAGATACAGAAGGTGTCGTGGTGCCTAGGCTGTGCCCAGGGTAGTCGTCGATAGTTATATAATAATACATAGTGGCTATAAGGCTGTTGTGCTCGGCGCGACTAGCTCACGAAGGTAGCTGACTATAGGACAACTATAGTGACTAGGGCTAGCCGCGATGTGATGGTCAAGTTGTGTACTGCCTGGATTGTTATATTGCATAGTTTTCGGGTGTCGTGCAGTAATTGTTTTGTTCATATCATGTAATATGCATTAGGTATGCTGGTTACAAGGTAGTTACACATATTTGTATATATTTGCAACTGTAGAATAGTTATAATTAAGCACAGGGATCCTTAGAAATGACTAGGGTACGAACCCCAGAACCCTACATAGTTTTGGTGGCAGCGTGTGGGATCCATGTGGTTAGGTTTTTGCATTATAATTTGTGTAAATTAGAATAAATCTGTACGGTTTGTATTGGTTTGTGAAGATGGCTAGCTATGTAGAGGATGATGTAGATACGCAGCACATAGATGTTCCCAGGCTATATTTAAGCTACACAGTGGCAGGGTATCGGAAAGAAAGAAAACAGAATGTAAACAAAGCAAACAATGGACATGTTCTTAATAACATCGGTGTATCCTCCAATACACACAATAATCGATGTTAATAGAAATCACCGAACAGATACAGATACAGATACAGAAGCTTTATTTTACGTCGAATATTATAAACATACAACATAAGCTACGAAGAGCTTGTATTTCGACAAATAAATGAACGAAGCAAAATGAGAATATATCCTAAGTATGATTATTGATTGTTACAAAGATATGTATGGGGCACACCTGTACACACAGGACAGATGGTACTGTTTATTGAACGGAGCACGTGCATCCAGTCAATATCTATTCAAACTGTAACAAAAGATAACAAAAGAAAAGTACCCCATACGATTTAAACAGTGACTCCTTTGTTCTTAAACAATAGGAATTTTCGTGTGCACCACATCAATATCTATTCAAACTATAACAAAAGAGAACTACCAAATACAATTTAAACAATGGCTCCTTTGTTATCAAACAATAGGAATTTAAATGACGTCATCGGGTATCCTCATAAGAGGGAGGATATCCTTCGGAGGATATCTTTTTCCCATGTTAATCCAATGGAGAAAAGTGCGCCAGAACCATCTGAACGGTTTCGTCCGTATCTTCTTCGGATAGGATATGGAAGAGATCAAAATTGATTTGCTTCCTCCGTTACAACAATTAATATCTTTTTTGTTTCCTTTATTTGCTGTCATCTTTCTTTTCTAACTAATTGCTGTTTGTGGGGGGCGACTCCATAAACACCCGTCCTCATCTGATTCATTAGGGATTAGCCTCATATGTTTCTGACTTTTGCGAGGACAATAATTCCAAAATGAACAAAATCATAGAGCACAGTTTTCATACAATGGTTGTTTTATCTAATTTACAATGGTTAAAGATGAAACCTTTGCATCATTACTATTATGAAGGGTGTCTTCCCGATCTTTTCCTTTGCAGTCATTTGACGGTTATCCTGGTTTTTAACAGCAAAATAATAAGAGACCATTTCTCGTTCTAGCGCTTACTTTTGTCAAGTTATTATGCTAATTTCTGAAATCCCTGAACCTAAAAACATATATTTAAACACACAAATCATATAAAACGGACATTTAGAAGCAGAGATCTGTATTTTTTATATACCCCACGCCGGGTGGCGGCCATTTCGAATGTTCGTGTCTTACCGAGTTAGACCACATTTTCGCGAGGTTCACCCCAGCTCATTTTAATAAGCACCCTCATATTGACCAAAATCAACTTTCAAACCTTGGTCCGGAAAAAGTAGTCACGAGACCCCATTGTGGCAACTCTACTACTACCACAAAGAGAACGAAGGACCTTCCTTTCACATGCGCATGACAACAAGACAGCCGATCACTTGGGAATGAAGAAAACTCGAACAAAGATTAGACAAATGTTTTACTGGCCTGGGCTCAAAGGAGATGTCAAACGATATGTATCTGGATGTGTACCGTGTTGTCGAGGAAAGTCTCCTACCAAAGCAAAAAGAGCGCCAATGCAAATGGTCGAAGCAGGGTTTCCTATGGAACGAATAGGAATAGACATCCTCTTTGAATTACCCCAAACCGACCACGGAAACAGACAAATACTGGTAAAATCAGACTTTTATACTAATTGGACTGAATACTTCACCATGAGAGACATGGAAGCCGAGACGGTTGCAAGAATTCTGGTTGAAGAAGTGATTTGTAGGTTAAGTGCTGCAAGCACCATTACTTCAGATCAGCGTTCCCAATTTGAGAGTGTTCTTTTCCAGGAAATGTGCCAGCTCTTAGAGATTCAGAACACACGGACGACCCCATTCCACCCAAAACTGGATGGATTGGTCAAACGATTCAACAAAACATTAGTCAACATGTTAAATGGTTTTGTTAAAGACCAACAAACCGACTTGGACCTGAACTTACCATACGTGACTATGGCTAACAGGTCAGCTGAACATGTGTAACGTTTCTGCTACCCAGCTAATCCTGTGGGTGAGATCAGNGAAACAACAACCAACACCCCAAACTTCATGATGTTGGGCATGGAAACCAGCACCCCATTGGATATCCAGTATTCAATGCCTCGGGATGTCGAAGTCATATCCAAAAATATGTGGGCATGGCGGCTGAAAGAGAAGATGGAGGATGCCCATCATATGATGACACAGAATGTGAAAAAGCCATGTTGAGACAGAAGAAGAATCATGACTCCAAGCTGTCCTGGCAGAACTTCAAACTGGGCAATGAATGTTTGTGTTCTTTCCTAATGGAAAAGGTGGGACGAAGTCATGAGTTATCAAGTCGGTAGAGAGGACGGTAAAAGGTGCTCGCTGAGTTGACAGAGGTCAACAACAGAGTGCGTTGCGGACGCAAGGGGAAGTCACAGGTCAGTCATGCAGACCGTATGAAGTAATGAGAGGGTCAGGTCATGAGCGGTGAAAATGCCCAAGAAGCGAGAGACATCGATAAACAGTATTAGATCCAAAGTTCAATACACAATATATACCATAAAAAATAACTAGATATAAATAAATAGATATATAGATAAAAAATATTTTGTACAAATGTGGACATAAACAAATGATTTTCTATGCAAAAATGCATTCGTGCACACACGCATTCTGCCTGTGAGTTACACATATCATGTATTGGTATACACTGTCTCACTGACATATATATGTTAAAATGTTTAATTATCACAGTATCAACACATGACCAGGATAACCTACTTGAAGAGAACTTTGGTATATAGATGAGAGTGTACTCTACAGGAAATTAATAAATTAACTTGGATTAGGACATGTTATAGGGCAACTATAGTGACTAGGGCTAGCCGCGACGTGATGGTCAAATTTTGCACTGCCTGGATTGTACGGTAGTGTGTGTAGTGTGTTGTTATATTAAGTACAGAGCAACAAGCTTTGGTTATAGTTTTAGGGTGTCGTGCAGTAATTGTTTTGCTCATATCATGTATCAAGCATAAGGTATGCTGGTTACAGGGTAGTAACACATTTGTTTATATTTGCAACTGTAGTATAGTTATAATTAGGCCTACAGCACAGGGATCATTAGAAGTAACTAGGGTACGGACCAAGGAACGTTAAAAATTAACAGAATTCTTTTGGAAACAAAGAATGATACAAGTACCTAAATACTACCTTGTATGTATGGTTAACTAAGTTCTGTCACAGTATAATGGACGTACACTTGTAGGACGACCTTCACTGAACCACGACTATATACGAGCATCGGCTTGCTTATCGGCTAGTGTCCCTACATCTCTTTTAGGAAGGGGGGGGGGGGTTCGGGGTTATCAAGAATGTTCGTCAAGTCTCGTCACATTCTCTTTTCGCCGTTGTTGTCTCGGATGATTATTCGGCCATCCATCGTCCAGGTACCGGAAATCAGTTTACTCGCCTTAGTGAAAACTGCACTTCTATTTTTCGTCAGAGCCTCGTTGATGTAGTTTGTTCGATATTATTTCCATTAGTTGTTCCTGGATTATTAGGTCATTTGATATCCAACTCTGTGTATATTGGATACGGTAATATCTTATACGCGTACAGGTGGATACGTCTCTGTTTCATATAATCTGACTAGACTTATTAATACTTAATTGCATTCGATTGTTTGTTTTCTGAAAAACAGTATGAACGTATCCCTTAGAGTGTCATGCTAACTTTTCAGTTGCGGTTTTTCATCGACTTTCTATTACAGCCCTCGACAAACAATGACTGTAATTGTACAGTTCGAATGGTTAAAATAATAACTTCATGATCGAAATTAAGAATAAGAACGAATATTACAATATCGGTTCTACCATTATCCATATAGGTGAGAGGTGAAGAGCAAACCAAGCTGTTCTACTCAGTGAAGCATCGGTAGCTACAAAAACAGCAAGCAATGTCGAGGTAATACTATATACACATACATATTGTTTATTAAAATTTTATATTCACAAGTTATATGCTTATTCTACCTTGGTTGTTTAGAAACGTTCACATTGAGATAATATATGAATGTAATAACTAATCATATGCTTTACATCATATATTTATATAAAATATTTTCATCCGCATATAGTATACTATCAGTTATCATATGCACAAGTTGTGTTGCAGTATTGTAACAAAATCATTGTTTCAACTTTTATTATTATATGCTTGAAAATTTCTCGCAATGACATCCTATACACGTGACACTTAATTAATGGCGCGGCATCCGTCGTCCGTCCTTCATCTTTTCCTTTAAAACGCTACTAGTCCTGAACAGCCCAGTAGATTTTGATTAAAGATAATCTGGAGCATCCTTAGCCCAATGGGACTTACTTTTATATAAACGACGGGTGGGGCTTCCCTTGGGGCAGAGGTGTGGGGCTAAAAAGGGAAATAGAGATAAACCTTTGAAATCCTTCTTCTACTATAGGGATTAGAGGATTTTATCCCAATATGGTCTGGAGCATCTTTGGGGCAAGATAATTCTACTTTGTATCAATGAAGGGTCTGGCTTCCCAAAGGGAACTAAGCTGTCGTCAGTAGTCCATCCTTAAGCAAATCTTGTTATTGCTATTTCTCAAGAAGTATTGATTTGATGAATCTCATATGTATGTTCACTTTTGTTCTTAGTTGCGAAAGTTTTAATTTGAAATTGATCAGAACAAGATGGCCAACAGGCCGCCATCTTGGATTTTGACATTTGATGTTTGTTCTCGCTATATCTCCAGAAGTACTGGAAATACAGTACCTACCTCATATCAATAAACATATCCAGGTGAGCGTTACAGATCCTCTGGGCCTCTTGTTTATATAAGGCATCCGTTTTGCACAAAAAAGATATTGCTGTTAATCGGATTTCCATGTATTGTTATGATACAATTTTATTTTTTATTTATTTTTTAGCTTTTACCCTACAATGAAGATGAATACCAGATTCGGTGAAGAAGTGGACGATATGTACAATATTCATGGCCACGTTGGCAATCTCAGTCGGGCGGCAATTTTGCAGAGTCTGAGTGAAATATAAAGATATTTACAATATAGTCAAACATATTCGCAAAAAGAAAATCTTAGATGATATCTATCGAAATTCGCAAAGATTCATAAGCAAGAATATATTTGTTCAGATAGCACCCTTTTAGAAGATCGTTAGTTGAGTGTCCATAAACTGGCCCCTGTCTCTAGAATATTGAATCATTTAGAAAAACAGATCAGCTCTAATAACAATTTTAATCAGTTGGATCTCTGATTCGAAACAAGGGGGAGATAAGCTAGTAGTAAAATTGCGAAATTCTTCATAAAAAACCTAGGGGCTGTTAGGCAGTCTAGCGTGTTCATACCGCAATACATTTTTCTATATTTATAAAGTGTTCTCACATTGCTGAAGTAGTAGAATACATTAAGACTAATTATGATATATAACGCATATTTTGAAAACTAATAACAGTAGACCACATTCAAAGATAACAGCATAGCTATATTTCAGCACTTAAAGTTTTGTTATAACTTATATTCATACAGGAAAAATTATCAGTTCGAGATTAGCTTTCCAGACAGAACAACCATTCAACATAGCAGATTTTGGAACTGCAGACGGACAAGCTTCTCTGGCGCTCGTCAATGAAATTATAGGTAAATATAATAACCAGAAAAATATGTCCAAATTAAAAAGATATTATTTTCATACTGAAATTAAAATGTAAAGAAGTACAATTATTTTATATTTTACAGATGTCATACAAACAGATTTTAGGAAGGAACAAGCCATTGTCGTGTACTACAATGATCAACCGATGAACGACTTCAATCGGCTAAGCAAAGTCATCCAAGGTTGTACAATACATCCTTTGTTGACATTATGAACAGAATCATTACGTTAAATAAGATGTTCGTCATATGATTTTTTTTACTAATCTTAGCTGATTAGCACAGATTAGTTCCCCGTTCTATTCATTATGGTACATTTTAAGTATAGATCAGCAATATATTCACAGCAAATCACCCAAAAGGCAGTGCTATGACATTTAAACACCTTCCGTAAATATTTGCCACACTGCTTACGACTTCATAAGCACTAAATAACAAAAAACATATGTCAGCTTGTGTTTGAAGATTACAATGGCTAGGAAGTGTTTTGTGACTTCTAATAAACTGTAATCGTCAGAAAAGGGAACATTGATGAATAATCTTAAACATTTTGTTTCTACTGGAATAAATGCGTATCTAATATCTTGTTATTCAGGTGACAGAAAAGTCCGCGGCAATATCTATCCCGTGATCATACCAAGGACTATGTATGAACAATGTCTCCCTAACAATTCCCTGGACCTGGCTATTTCTAGTGTAGCTACACATTATATGTCTAAACAGTATGTATGTTTTAATTGTATCGGACTCATTGTATTAAGTTTAATAACGATTTTTCCCTTTTAAACGAAATTTATTTCATAATAGTTTACTCTACATGAAATATAAGTAACTACATATGTCAAGTTTCTGTACTTTCGTAAAATGTTTTACCCGGAAATGTTTATTTTGCTGCATGTCTGACCTGTTGTGATAATGTGTGTTATGTGGGTGTACATGTGCGTTTGTGTGCTTGAGGCGTTATGGTGGTATTTTTGGCCTCTTGTCGAAAACGTAGATCTGATGCTGACTTTAGAGTGCTACCTTTCCGAAGCCATTCAGCAGTATTTCGCGGGTCACACTATATTGTCGATGTGTTAACCAGTTGTTAGCACTACCCTAAATGCTGGACATTAAGCAGGGAATAACAAATATAACTTTAAGGACTCTGGCGTGTTCTTGGCTGGGGACAGAATTCATTACCTTTCTCACTTGTGCGAACGTTTACGACTACGGCCAAAGGTGCGGCATTGCCATAGAAGGCGCCTGCAGATCTATTTTGGTCTCTTCAAAGCCGCCTTAGCAGAAGACATGGCAAAACTCTTCGATTCTGCTTTATTTATGATTGTGGTCACAATTGACTGTCATTGTTAAGATGTACCGAATATTTATAGTGTCAAAAATTTACCAACTTGCTGTAAAAGCAATAAAAGCAAGATAGAATCTAATACATCTCTGGAATAGCTACCTGTGGTACATAAAAGAATTATTATCGACGAAATTCATTTGTTAGCTCACCTTCCCGAAGGGCCATGGCGCGGCGTCCGCCGTCGGTCCGTCAACTTGTTGTTTAAACAACTTCTTCTGAAGATCTGAAAGGCCTAGAGTCATGATATTTGGCCAGTAGCATCCTATGATGGAGCCCGACAAAGTTTGCGAATGAAAATGACCTTAACCTTGTTTCAAGGTTACATGGGTCACATGTTAAAAACTTCCAACAACAATATCCTAAGAACCATTTGGACTAGAGTCATAATGCTTGTCAGTATGGTATGTAGACCAGCTGTGTGCATCTTTTTCTTTGTTATAGTAATGAGGTCAAAGGTCAACTTAAAGTGCTAGCCAGAGTCAAATGTCAACATGGTTAAAAGCTTTGAAATTAAAATTTCAAATTTTTAACAACAATATCATAAGAACCGTTTAAGAGATGTTAAAACGTCTTGTGTTCTCAGTACCAAATTTGGTCTGAAAGATTACTTGAAAAGCTGTGCTAAAAGTGAAACAAATCGCAAATATTTATAACGTTATGCTATTATTTCATCAAACGCATTCAGAGTGCACAAAGGGTTTAAGATAATTTTCCTCAGATGTCAAATATAAACATTCTTTTAATCTTTGACATATGACTTAGATAGCATCGCTTGTTCATGGAAATTTCATATTTTTTAAGTATATGGCATTTAGAGCTTTTGATAATATAGACATAATAACCAGGTATTAGAATATTTAAATATTAATATGTTTATAAATCCTTATATTATCAATCAATTTCAGAGTTTGTCAGATAAAAAATGGGATATCAATTGCTGATGCAGATGACAATGAACTAAGTTTGATGAGAGAACAAGCCAAAGCTGATTGGAGGTCTTTTGTGATTTCAAGGGGACGGGAACTAAAACCTGGTAATTGCATGAATTGTGTTTGGGTAATTAAATGCATCATGTGACAAATGTTTCTCACTCTTGTTTCATATTCCAACATAATGCACGTATATAAGTCGATTATTTCTAAAACCTACTCCTGACAAAATATAAGCAAAACATTGTCTCTGGGAATATTAAGGAAGTAATTTTACATCTCACACATCTTAAATAACCACTATACTTTAAACTACAAACTACAAATTTAATCCAGGAAGATTTGTGTAATTTAACAAATTTCTCATAAAAATATCTATAAAACGTACAATCCATTTGCCAGTGATTCGCATAAACTTATGCATTGTTTACAGAATGACGTCAAAATGATAAAAACTAAATATCAGCATTAAAATTAACTTTGATGAAATCACATTCTTTACACTGAGTAGGCTTGCTACATCCAAATGCAGCTGCTACACTATCAGTCAAAGGAGATATAAGGCTATAAACATTGCTATTCAATTCAAGAGGGATATCAAAACTCACCTCTTCACGTCTGCATTTTAGGGTCTCTGCAAAGATGTCATGTAAATACCAACATTTATTTGTTCAATTATGTGCACAGTGCTAGCTTAAATGTATAAAATTGATTGTAAGTCTTTGTTTTTGTTTCACAATTATAACTGTTACTAGATTTACAAATTAAATAGGGCGTTATATAAATGTTGTATATTATTATTATTATTACAAGCTAACCGGTAATAGGATTTATATATATATTTTAAATGCCGCCGTGACTATTCTCCATAATTATGTTTATTGAAGATTTAAAAGAAATTGTGGTTAGGTATACATGTAGCAAACACTAGTGAAAGCAAGTGTTTTTTTTTTTTTATAAAAGCACTGGATTAAGTCTTGAGTGTAATCAACCCAACAGGACTCAAAATATAAGTTGTGCATTTTATAAACTGATTTTCTATTCATATAGTAACAGTGATAGAGACCTAATCCCCGGGCCTGGAAAGTTATCCCAAGCAGGCACTTTCTTTGAGGAAGCACTGTATAAAGTCAAGAGTGTAATCAGCCCAAGAGAAATCAAGATATTGTGCATTAGTGCATTAAACAGATTTTCTATTTATAGTGACCCATTGACCTTTGACCACTGGACCTGAAAAGTTATCCCCAGCAGGCACTTTCTTCCAGGAAGAACTGGATAAAATCTGAGTGTTATCAGTCCAACAGAATTTGAAATACAGTGCACAAAGTGATGTTCTATTTATAGTAAGTGACCTTGACCTCTGATATCAAAGGCTGAAAAGCTATTCAAAAGCTTAAGCAAACATTTTATTACACTGGATAAAGTCCATGTATGCACACACACAAGGTTCTACACTTGAAGTTGATAAGTTGACTTTAATATTCATATGTTTTTTCTGTATGTTATTACTATCTCCATAACATATTGGATGAAGTTGCTAAGTGTTTAAATTGAATCAGTTGATGATTTTCTATGTATAAAGTTTGACCAAAACCCGTGAAAGAATGAAGCTGCTAAGTGTTTACATTGAATAGAGACGGGACAGGATGATTTTCTATATATAGCAAATGTGACCTTGGCCTTGACCTTGGATCCCTGAAATACAAAGATGTCCGAAGTATACCCAAACTTGACCTTTGTATAAAGTTTGACCAAAATCTGTTAATGAATGAAGTTGCTAAGTGTTTACATTGAATAGAGACGGGACACGACG